ATTCATTTTCCTGAAAAATTTGTTAATTTTTGTTTTCTTTAAATCTGTGTATTCCAACACACACACACACACACACACACACACACACACCTTGCTTGTGGATGGACAATGAGGTTGGTTCTATTTTCTGTCCAAAGTGAATAAAGAAACAGTAAATGTGGTGGTGCAAATACCTCTGTGGTAGAGTGTAGAATACTCTGGGTATATGCCCAGGAGTAAAATAACTAGGTCATAAGATAGCTCTATTTTTGAGGTTTCTTAAAACTGATTTCCATAATACCAGTATTAATTTGCACCCCTGCCATCAGTGAATAAGTATTTCTTTCTGCACATTTTCTCTAACATTTGTAATCAAGTTTCTTGATAGTCATTCTGACTAGGGTCAAGTGTTATCTCAAAGTTTTAATTTGCCTTTTTCCATTGGCTAAGGATTTTGAAGACTTTTAAAATAGCTATTGGCCATTTGTGTTTCTCTATTTGAAAACTATGTGTTCAGTTCATTTGCCCATTTGTTGATTTTGGCAGTTTTATTTCCTTGGTATTTAATATTTACAATTCTTTGTAAGTTCTGGATGTATCCTCTTTTCTGAAGGGTAGCTGCTAAAGACTTTCCAGTTCCATGCTGAAACTTTTTGGTATTTGGGGATTCAAAAACTGATGTGACATAAGAAGTCAAAAATTCTACTTCATGGGCAAAGTTATTAAAAATACTGAATGAAATCAGCTTCAGACTTGAGTATAAAGTATAAAAGATAAATGAATTTTCTTTAATTGTGGATCTCCATCACCAGCCTATCACATTTTACATGCAGATATTCTAAAATCCAACAGCCTCAATCTGGGGGCACTTTAATTTCAATCATTTCAGATAAGGAATTCTCAGTATATACTTAGCAACCATTAGAAAACATGCCTTTTACACCAAGCAAACGTTGGAGTAACTTACTTCTTGTATGTTTTGCCTAGTTCAACACCTATCAAGTAGTCTCTATGTAAACTACCATTTAAGAAGTTTTTTTTTTAAATATACTTGAGCAAGGGAGGTTGAGAAGGCGCTAAGTTTTATCTTTTTCTGCTTCGTTGTAATGTTTTACAAGTTTTATTTCTGACATCTTTAACTTACTAGATTTTAATTCATTTCATCATCATTCTGCTTAATCAAGTTTTAATTATCTTGAAAGGGTTTATTAGGAATACCCCTTGTGGTTATTTTTTCATTTTGCTGATTAGAAAATGAAGTTACTAAGTGTTCTCTTTGGATAGTGATTCACAGGAACACCAGCCAAAACTAACGAAGCTAGGAAGATAATGGGAACCTAACTTAATTTGCAAAGGTTCTTGGCATTCGGAAATACACACACACACACACACACACACACACACACA